ACTTAACCACTGATTTCTAGTCGTGTCCATTTTTGGAAGGCCAAACAAAGTAGTTTCGCTTTCACAATGAAACACATCGTCACACATGGCGGCCTAGAGTGAGCAGCGGCAGCCTAGAGTGAGTTTATGCACCAAGAGCTTGTAACACTCCAAAGAGAAAGGAAAAATTTAAATAGCATCATATGACCTTTTTAAGTACAGTAATCAAGTAAAATTACTCATGTATTTTACATCCCTGCTCTGTGTCTATTTGCCCTGCCTGTGTACAACCCTGGACTGTTTGTCCTATAATGAATCTCTGCTGCCTGCCTATTGTCTCTGCCTTGTTTGTTTGGATATTACTTGGATTGTTTGCCACCTGCCCTGACCCTGTGCCTATGACCCTGTGTCTGTCAGTGTTTCAGTACTATTCTGATTCAGTTGTTATTTCCTGATGATTTAATCATTTTCTGCCTTTTCTCTGCATCCTCCTACTCCTCTTTGTCTCAGTTCCCCCTCCAGCATGTTATCATTCTGCTGCTTCTCTTTCTCATCCTCCTCCTCATCTTTATTCTCTCACTTCCCATCTACCACATCATTCTTTTATCATCTTTGTTCCTCTTCAGGAACTCGAGCCAGCGTCTCGTTCCCTCGAGGAACCAGGGTTACATACGTAACCCGAAACGTTTTCACCTTTCACCTTCTTTTTATTTTTTTGTGGACCTAGTTTGGGTCACTAATCTGTTGCTGATATTCATACTGATATTGTGTCTGTAAGGCACAATTTTTTGTAAAGCTGCTTTGGGACAATATACATATATTATGAGTGTGTACACACTTCAAGGAAGTCAGTCAAAAACATGACATAGTCAGTGTTGGGGAGTAACTAGTTACATGTAACGGAATTACGTAATTTAATTACAAAATAAAAGTAATTAAACTTCTGAAACATTGGTGTTTCATATTTTAGAGCAGTCACTGCAACTTATGAAAGAACTCAATTAAATCAAAATATGTAATTAAATTACAGTTACTTATGAAAATGTTAAGGATTACAAAGGGGGTTACATCTGATTTTTTTCACAAACACTCCCACATACATATTTAATTGAGTTCTTTCATAAATTGCAGTGACTGCTGTAAAA